CATATGGTAACCCTAGGCCACAGGGAAACAGTTCCAGCTCCCTGATCCTGCACCAACGACCCAATGAGAAAGCAGCTCTAACTCATGAGGTCTCTCTCTTCCCCACCATCCCCTTACACTGGGGTAAGGAGGTGGCTGGTAATGGAGCCAGCTCTGTGCCACCAGAGAACCCCCCTGTACTGACTATTTCTGGCCAATCTAATTCCTCTTTGCATCGCTTGACTGGCACATAGAGGACCAGGGAATCTGGCATGCATGTGCACGCGCACGCATATACATAAAAATTGGGCATTCTGAATATGTGAATTGTCAGACTGGACTTCCTCCTAGAAACTATTACGAATGGAAGGCTGCATGGAACTATAAAGATAATTTCCATATATTTGCAATATGGTCTTGGATTTAACCTATGGCCTCAATATCATCAGGCATTAACAACCTTGACCTCCACTGTGAAAAAATATACACATCTAAATGTACCAGTACACATTTTTAGCATAGTTGCTAAAACTGTATTAAATTTACAAAGACAAACAACTGATCCAGTATTGTTGCACTGTAAAACTCCCAGTGTAGCTGGTGGGAATTTTGCCTGTGGGGCTGCAGAATTAGGCCTTACATTAGTAGAAGCCTTTAAGTTCTAAAATTTAACTGATTTACATTAAACATAGTTGTCCTCAGATGAGTAGCACCATCTGGGCAAGACTGTTATTTTACAGTCTGCCATGCATATGGGGAAGTGTGTACTTGTGCTCTCCCCAAGAGAAGACTAAGAAGTAGACTGTGCCTTTCAGTTTCCTCCTGCTCCAGGAGGTGTATGTGAAGGAGAAAGGCAGCCTGTGCCAGCCCTAAACTTGGTGCAGTCTATATTCCCAAGCACAGCTGAACTGGCTGGAACGTTTGGCCGTGAAACTTCGCCCATATGCAGGAAGCAAAATGTAGCAGTCCAGCAGAGGCTACTCACTGCTCTGTGGTATGGGTAACCAATGCAGGAAAGTAAGAGATGCTTATATCCCCCCTACATCCTTGCAGGAGCAGTTGGGATAGGCCACAATCTGGATTTTAGTAATAATCTAATACAGTAGAACTTGGCCTTGGTGATCAGTGACTGTAATGATCATTTGGCTAACACACTTAAGGTCAGGTTTTCAAAGGTAGTTAGCACCTAAAGATGCAAATTGGTGCCTAGTAGGATTTTCAAAGCACCTTGTGATGTTATTGACATGAACTGTAATGTATAGATCATTGTTGCACCAGGTCTTGTACAGAGGAGGTCAAGTGGGGCGTCTATGGAAAGGTTGTCGTTTGCTAGCTATGATTATGCTGTCTGTATGTGTGTATCATTTTGTATTTGAAGTTATGAATATTGGCTATGTACTTGTATCTCAATGTGTTTGATTCCAAGTAGCCTCAGTAAAGCATTTGGTCAGCTTCTTGAGAAAGGACTATTCTCAGTAAGTGCCCAATTAAGAAACACTTAACTGACAATGGACTTTGGGAGATGCCAATCTACATCTGAGCTTTCCTGGGAACATTCAAACTAACATGTAAACAATGGCATCCGCCTGCAAAAAGCTGACTCATTCATGGACATGTGACTTGCCCAGGTGGCTACAAACTCCATCTTGCTGCTGTGATTTTGCACAGGAGAACAAAGGGGCTTCCGCCCACAAGAGAGAGAATATAAAAGGCCCTGGAAACCCCTCCATTTTGTCTTCAGCTGGTTCAAGAGATGGCCTCTCCACCCCCAAGAGATGCCTGAAAGAAACTGGAACAAAGGACAGTAACTACAGGGGTGTGAGTGATTGCTGGACCCAGACTAGGAAGGAGACCAGTCTGTGAAAGAAGCTTATTGGAACATCTCTGGGGGTGAGATTTCATCTGTAATCAGTTTCTTAATGTATTAGGCTTAGACTTGTGTGTTTTGTTTGATTTTGCTTGGTAACTTACTTTGTTCTGTCTGTTATTACTTGGAACCAGTTAAATCCTACTTTTTATACTTAATAAAATCACTTTTTGCTTATTAATTAACCCAGAGTAAGTAATTAATACCTGGGGAAGCAAACAGCTGTGCATATCTCTCTATCAGTGTTATAGAGGGCGGACAATTTATGAGTTTAACAGATTTATTTGGGGTTTGCATCCCATTGGGAGCTGGGTGTCTGGGTGCTAGAGACAGGAGCACTTGCTAAGCCGTTTTCAGTTAAGTCTGCAGCTTTGGGGAGTGTGGTTCAGACCCTGGGTCTGTGTTGGAGCAGACTGGCATGTCTGGCTTGACAAGGCAGGGTTCTGGAGGCCCAAACTGGCAGAGAAAACAGGCTCAGAGGTAGTCTCAGCACATCAGGTAACAGTCCCAAGGGGGTTTCTGTGATCGAACCCATCACACACCTAATCACTGAAGTCAATGGGAGTTAGGTACCTAACCTGCCTAGGCACTTTTGAAAATCCCTCTAGGTGCCAACCTGCATCTTTAGATGCCTAAATACCTTTAAACATCCGGCCCTCAGAGCCTTATTTCCAAAATTTAGCATTTCCTGTTTTGATATGTTTGGCCCTGTTGGCAATGATCAGCTGATTTCAAGCAACAGGGATAAACCTCAAAGGAATTTAGTTCCTTGTTAAACTCTTAAATAAACATCTCTTAGTCTCTGCCATTGAAAAACTGCAGTGGGGCCATTCCGATGCTCTTGTGTGCAATTCAATTAGAGGGTTCAAATTCTTAATTTTTCATACAAAAAGAAAATTGGGAGACGTTTTACTTCTCTGATATTTATTTTTTTCATCCAATGTATCACCTCCAGGTATTCTCAAAGGTAAACCTTTCCAAGGCAAAGTGGCTATAGCCAATGGAGTGCCATGCTTTACAACATATTGGGCCATAGAATCTCGCCCATTCTGCTCAAGTGGCACAAAGGAAGCAGAACTATTTGTATCTCCCCAGCGCACGCAGACCCAGTGCATCTGCATGCTAGGCCATCCCCAGACTCTGAGTGGGGGTGAGTAAAGATGGGTAGGGGAAGTGGTTGAAACATGTTGTGCTCTGATAATAACTAGCTTGTGGGCAGGTCCTTGGGGATCATTACCAGCTACCAAAGTTTAGAGCATCCATGAGGCTGCTATAAACTCTGCAGGAGCTGTGGCCAACATCAGGGCCGGCTCCAGGCACCAGCACAGGAAGTAGATGCTTGGGGCGGCCAATGGGAAGCGGCGGCACGTCCGGGTCTTCGGCGGCAATTCGGCGGCGGGTCCCTCAGTCCCTCTTGGAGCGAAGGACCCACATCCAAATTGCTGCTGAGGAATGAAGCGGCACGGTTGAGCCACTGCCAAAGTGCCGCCGATCGCGGCTTTTTTTTTTTTTCCTTCCCTTCGCCGCTTGGGGCGGCAAAAAAGCCTGAGCTGGCCCTGGCCAGCATAAAACCAGCCAGCAATTCGGAGAACTGTAAATGGCTCACTTGTGGTTCCCCACTGTAGGCACAGCAGAGAATTTGGGCCATTATATCTGTATTGTGGTTCCTCTTAATTGAATATATGCTGCATATATGTTTCAGGTTTGCACTCAAGGCCTGTTTGAAAGTAACAGTTGAATAGTACTGTCTAAAATTGTATTTAAAATTGCAGTTTGGACCATTGCCACAGACCTGGAATAATTCATCTCTTGGAGTCGAAGGGTTCAGAGCTCCTGCTGTTAGTGATACAGCAAAATGTACTAGTGTGTTGTGCTGTTAAATCCAAACTCCCAGGTTAATAACAAAATGTACACAATTTTAGGGAGTCATGTTCCTGTCCAAAGAACAATTAAATTGTCAGCATAGCAGTGGTGACACCCAGGTGGGTTCTTGCTGTAGTCAGCATAAAAGTTCTCCCTTACCTTGCCACGAGTTACTTCTAGGTCTCCCATTTTCAAAGATGTCTGAAATATGCTTTGTGTCTGGGATCCTTTCACTCCATGAATGAGATAATCCATTTGACCTGGAATAGGAAGGCTCATCTGTGATTGTTGTTAGGTTACCTTCTAATCATTTATCAGAGGGGTAGCCATGTTAGTCTGTAAAAAGCAACAAAGAGTCCTGTGGCACCTTATAGACTAACAGATGTATTGGAGCATAAGCTTTCGTGCGTGAATACCCACTTCGTCAGATGCATCACCCACGAAAGCGTCTGACGAAGTGGGTATTGACCCACGAAAGCTTATGTTCCAATACATCTGTTAGTCTATAAGGTGCCACAGGACTCTTTGTTGCTTCTAATCATTTGGGTCCAAAACGAAGCCCAAAGGTCTGTCTGCACTAGCAGAGTGCACTGTTTTATGGTAAAGCACTACAGCTAAGGTTTGCTAGTACAGGCCATTCCCGCAGTGGTTCAGTGTGTCCACATTCACTAGCCTGGGTTCTATAAACTGGTTCAGGGTGACCACTCATAGCACTTCATCCAACTGTTGCTATCCCTGGGCACTGCAAGCTTCCTAAGGCATCTTTCTAGCTATCTGTTCCTAGCTGTAGCATCCCCTCCCCCCACCCAGTCATTGATTCCATCCTGACTGAGGAATGCATGCTAAGTCCTCACACAACTGGAGGGAAACAGAATGATGGAAGGTGGTTGGGAGGATTCCCCATTACATTTCCTCTCCTACCTCTAGCCCTGGAAGCCCATGATGATCATGATGAGCACCCATGCACCTAGGCAGGGGTGCTATAGGAGATAAAGAGCTCGTTCTCAGCTGAATAAACAGATATGGGTTAGGGCTGTCGATTAATTGCAGTTAACTCAAGCAATTAACTCAAAAAAATTAATCATGATTAAAAAATTAAATCGCAGTTTTAATTGCACTGTTAAAACAATAGAATACCAATTGAAATGTACTAAATATTTTGGATGTTTTTTCTACATTTTCAAATATATTGATTTCATTTACAGCACAGAATACAAAGTGTATATTATTTTTGATTACAAATGTTTGCACTGTAAAAATGATAAACAAAAAATAGTATTTTTCAATTCACCTCATATAAGGAGGGATAGCTCAGTGGTTTGAGCATTGGCCTGCTAAACCCAGGGTTGTGAGTTCAATCCTTGAGGGGGTCACTTAGGGATCTGGGGCAAAATCAGTACTTGGTCCTACAAGTGAAGGCAGGGGGCTGGACTTGATGACCTTTCA